CCTCTCCCTCAGGGCATGGATTGCGGTCACCACGAGGGAAGTGCGTGGTGACAAAATCGTCCCCATCTTGACTGGGGTGGCAGTTAAACAACTGTAGCTGTCTAACTGTATGTTTGTCGAAATTCATAGTACTGGGCACCTAGAAGGATTGAATTTTGCCATATATAAGTTATACTTCAATAAAAATAGATTAAAAAGAAATCACAGCCTCCTCAGAGTGGCTAAAGAAATCCTGATTTGGGGGGCGCCTGGGTGGCTCAGGTGTTAAGCATCTGCCTTCGGCTCAGGTCACGGTCCCTTGAGCCCCACGTCGGGCTTGCTGCTCGGTGGGGAGCCTGCTTCCCCCTTTCCGGCTTCCGTTGCCTGTGTTCCCTCTCTCGCTGTCTCTCTCTCTGTCAAATAAATAAATAAAACCTTGGGAAAAAAAAGAAAGAAATCCTGATTTAAAAAAAAAAACAACCCTCCACCAACAACACCACCAACAAAAACACACCAATTCTCTGTACCGACCTTGTTGTCTTCTTCTCTGCCAGTTGGTCACCATCCGAAAACTGAGCCTTCCTCTGGGCCAGTCCCCCGCACAATCAGGTGTAGGTAGTCTTGTTCCGGCCTTTCTCCAAGGGCCACGGAGCTTACCTGCAGTCACACCGGGCTGTTACATGGGTGCTCTGTCCCTGGTCTGTGTGTCCGCAAGTCTGTTCTCCCCAGGCCTCCACACATTCGCACTGTGCCAACGCTGACCTTGGGCAGCCCATCTAGACCCAGGCACCACACCCCCATGTGGCATCAGTGAGTACCCACGGTGGCTTTCCATAATAGGAAGCCATATTTTTATTTTAACCAACTCAGTACTTCCATTCTAAGTGACAGTTAATCTTGGATTTTTTTTTTTTTTTTTTAAGTTCTCCCCCATTTTCAAAAATGCCTGTCCTGGTCAGACACTAAGCCAATCCATTCATATGATTGGGAACTCTGTCTTCCTGTTGCAAAAGGTTGATGAACGTTGAAATGGAAAAGAATATGTTCCCCCTGCCAAACTCCTGGTGAAAAATAGAAGCACGAGTGCCCCAGCTTTATAAGGACTCAAGAGCCCTTGATGGGTTTCCTTGCCAGGCACACAATGACCCTCTCATTAGAACTTGCCACTGCTGTGCCATGGCAGGGTCCCAAATCCTTAAGGGGACTTATGAGGTGCTGCTGGTCTGTCTCCTAATGCCTCTTGCTGACTGGGTATCATCTGTCCTCTGTTCCAGTCCCCTTGGGCATCTGTAGTGCCTACCACCACAGGCCCTTTGCACATGCTGTCCTCACTGCCTTGAGCCCTTTGTACCTTCTACCCTACCCCCTTCTTCTCCTGGCTGACTCTCACTCATCCTTCGAAGGAGGGCATCTCCATCAGGGAAACCTGCCCTAACGACCTGTCAGGTTCTTTTAGTACATCATCTCAGAAACCAGAGTCCATTCCTGGGTTGTTCTAATTTTAGCTTAAAATTGTACTCTCATTTCTGTGGTTCCCTGATTGATGCTCATCTTTTGCCACCTAACCTCTGAGCTTCATGAGGACAGGGCTGTTGTCTGTGGAGGCTCGCCACGGTGCCTTGAAGCTGCCAGAAGCAGCACTCGCCTGCACGTACCTCCACAGAGGAGAGCTTGGGGGTGTGGTGCTGCTTGATGGTGTGCAACCGAGGACAGAGCCTTAGGATTCTGACATTTGTGCTTAAGGAATCTGAGGCTGTTCCCTGTCATCTACTAGGGTAAGGGGTGGTGAGAGACGGGGATGTTTCATGACTGACAGCCTGCCCGAGAAAAGCTTCAGAACCCAAATTTACAGGGGTTTGCCCAGTTACAGCTCAGGCTGCCATGTCCGGTTTCTGAGTAGCATGGCCGAACATTTGGGTTATTTTCTCCTTTGATACCAGCCTTTGGCATCTCAGGAGTGCTAGGTATGATGTTTTTAATGAAAATGAAGCCAAGAATTTACAGCTGAAAATGAAAATAGTATGCATCTTTGCTCAGTGACATAGTGCTGACAGATAGGAAAAGAATTCCGATAAGTGACCACCTGTCATGTTCAAATACCATCTTCCGACCATCCAGAAAATATAAACACCTGGCTTGTCACTGAACAGCAAGTTAAAGACAACTTTAAAAGACAAGGCAAGTTCACTGATTGAGGGGGTGTCCAAAGGCTGTTTCTACCCAGGTGAAAAATGTTTTCATTCATTTTGAAGCCAAAAGCTGTGAGGGTCGGCAGAGCAGGACTCAGGTCAAAGCGTGGCTGCTTGGCTGACCCGCCCAGGCAGGTGAAATGTGTGAGTGCTCTCAGGACCCCGGCTGCCTCCATCCCCGACTTCATTTCACTGCAATCTTGTTGCTCAGGAATTGGGAGGGTTTTAGACAACCAGCTGTTACAAAGGCCGGCAGCACTGTTGAGGGGCTTGCTGCTGCCAGGGCCGCGTTGTTAACCGCCCCCCCTCGCCCCCCCGCTCCCCCCCCCCAAGCGAGAAGGCTCTGCAGCCGAGGAAGACACTGATCAGCCCCGCCCCCTCCGCCCCCAGACCCGCCCCCTCCAGGCATGATTTATGACTCCCAGGTCAGGGGCCGTGTTAACGCTCATTTTTAACAAGGGATAGAGAGAGTACTCAGCATAGAAGAATGTTGTCTTTCACCCTCCCACTGCCTCAGTTAGCGTGCCTCTCCAGTGCCTTTGAGAAGTCGGTTTACAGCTGACAAGAACTCCAAACACACACCCTGCTTTTGTGCATATTTCACGTGAGAAACTGAGGCTCCCAGAAATTACAGCACTGCTCCCTGGTCCAGCGGCTGGAGGGCCCCTGCCTCTCAGGGACTTTTCCTTTTATCGCCTAAGGCTGCTTCTGCTTCAGCCATCACCAACTAGTTTAAAATGTTGCATTTAAATACTCAGCCCAGCAGGAGTGTTGCCAAGACTCCTGGGCAGCGCCCCATCTTCCTCAGCAGAGAGTTTGCTGGGTGTGAATCACCGTTGGAGACTGAAGATAAGGACCCCAACCCCACACAAGCGATGGTGGGGGCAGGCAAAGGCCCAGCAGCCCCTGCCCATTTCAGATCATTGCCAGGGCCACGAACCCCTCGCGGCATTGCTCTCAGCCTGGAGGGCAACCACATTTACCCAGTGAGCACCCTGCTGCACACTGCCCGGCACTGGGGAACAAAGAAATACTTCAGTTTTAAAAACTGCCAAGAAATTACAGTTACACGAAGCCAGCAGACACTAGCACCGACTTACTCCAGATGCCCAAAGCAACTCTAGTGGGTACAATAGGTTTGGGATGGTCCATGTGCATGTGTTTACGTGCATGTGTGTGTGTGCATGCATGTTTGTGAGTTCAAGGGGTTCTGTGTCTTAGTTCGGAGCTTCCAACCCACAGCCATGTCTCCAGGACGTAGTACAGATTGGCTACACATTTTCTCTGCCAGACAGATGTAGACCACCCCAGTGTGCAGACCCTAAAGACCGACATCCCTACCTCGCCCATCCAGCCCTCTGGGACACACTTGGATCGACACTGATTATTGCCTACACATCATGCTGCTGGCTGGCTATCTAGAGGAGCAAGGATCCAATGGTTATGTACCCAAAGATAGTTCAAGCAAGGTTGTTTTTGTTTTTAATTTTGTTTTCATTCAGTAGGGAAGAAGCTGGAATCTAGAGCCACATGGAAAAGAGCATAAGGTTAGAACTCTGTCACAGTGTGCTGGTACTGGAAGACCTCTTGATTTTATCGACAGAACTCTGAGGACCCTGGGGTTCAGCTGCTTGCCTGCATCTTACAATAGTTATATCTTGGACCAGAAGTCAGCTCTCCTGCCTGTTTCCCATACACCAAGCATCTGCTCATATCAAGTAAAACTCTGATCTTGGCCCTAACACTGCAGGGAAGAGCCTTGTTCTGCTTCTTCCCTGATCTCAGAGAGGAGCCCCTGCCCATGGTGGAAGCAGAGCGTCCCCCTGGGCCTCACCCTGCCCTCCTGGCCCTGCCTCAATCCTCTTTAGCCTCCTAGAAGCCCCCTGTGCCCATCTTGGGACGCCTGGTGGCTGCCTGAAAAGACTCAAGTCAGGCAAGGTCTGCTAGGCTGGCAAGTCCAGTGTATTTTCTCTCGAAGCCCTCCTGCCAGGAAGCTGCGAGCTCTGGGGGGCTGACCCCTCTGAAGAGCAAAGGGCCTCTCTCTTCAGCTGTCCACCCCACCCTCCCCGCCTGTTCCTCTCTCCATCTGGATGGGATCAGCCAAACCCAGAAGGGCCTTCTGCTGTGCTAAGCCAGGTGGAGTCTCCCCCACATAGCTGTTCACGCATGTTTAATAGCATGTTTTCACTCCAGAGCCCCACATAAGCACTGCAAGCATTTCTTCATAAAAAAAAAAAAAAAAAAAAAAAAAACAGGATTAAAGCTCCTCATAAGCTGACTTTTTCCTTTGAGAAAAGCTAATTTATCCTTGGGTTAACATCAGGCAAAAAGTTAGAGTCATTTACTGTGTTCAGCCTACACATGTTTATTATCTACATCTGGCTGATGTTTTACTGAATTGCGATTTTTTATTTTTTAATAGTGGGTGATCGAGCTGCCTCCTCTATCCAAAATCTGGGCTGATTTCCATCTGCGTTCTCTGGTCTCCTTTCCCCTCCCCCTGACTCCCCTCCCACTCACCACTGTGATATAAACTGCCGATTTAATGAGGTCTTGTGCTCCCATGCCAAAGAGTCGAGGCAAAAAATCACACCATAGGAGCTAGATGAGATTTATCCCTTCTGCTTTTTTATTACTGACCTGGTTTTGTGCCTCATAACAAATCCCACATTACGACTCTCCAAACATTTTCTACTCACAGGAAGCCTGCTGCTAGCCCAAGACAACTGGAGTGACACTAGTGACTGCAAGAAGGCACTGGGCCTGGGGGGGTGAAAAAGCTGGTGCCCCAGACTGTCATGCATAAATTTCAGTTAGAGGAGAGCCCAGGAACGGAAGCAAAGGGAGTGTGCCTGGAGACTTCTTCCTTCCTCCCTTCTCGTATTGAACATGCGATGTCCCCACCACAGCCAAGGAGTCGGCAGAGAGCAAGGGCACTGGCTGCCTCCACCCTCTGGACGGTCCTCTCCTGGGCAGAGGTTCTGTAACAAGGCACAGGCAGATGGCCATTCCTCCCTGGCATGCCCCTGCCTCCCACCCCTAGGAAAACAGTCAGAGGTCCAGGGATGATTCACATCATAGACCAGTGCTCAGAGGAGTCCTACCCCCATGGAGGCGTCCTCCTGGAACCCAGAGTCCTGGGGATGTGAGAAAATAAAGGAGCTTTGATGCTCTTGGGATTAGCACACAGACTGCTGGAAAAAGGTGACTGTGGTGGGAACAGGCGGTGGCTCTTAGGGGAGCATCGGGGCAGGCAGTCTGCTGGCAGGTAAGGGTGAAGCAGACCCCTTTGTGGTGGCCAGGCTGGGGAGGAGGTGAAAGGGCTCTTCAGAAGGTGGTGGTCCTGGTGAGGGGGACCTGCTTGCGGCTGGGTTCTGGTTGCAAGGGCCCCTGCTGGCAGGGGAGCAGAGGGCATATCCATCCTGCCCCACCTCTGCTCTTGAGGGCAGTGGCGTAATAGTCCAGGGGTTCGTCCTCAGGACCGCCAGGTGCATCCAGGAGGCAACACTGCAGGCAGAGAACCCGCTGGAAGGACGGGCGGAAGTTGTCGGTTAGGAAGCCACAGAGGATGGGGTTGGCGCCGCTGTTGGCGTAGCTGAGGATGAGGGACACATGGTTGACCATGGCATCAAGGCTGGTCACAAACAGGTTCAGCAGCTGCACCACGTAGAAGGGCATCCAGCAGAGCACAAAGACGGCTACCACCATCAGCACCAGCCGTGTGATCTTCTTTTTCGAGCGCTTTCGCCGCTGCCAGCCGGCCCGGAGTGACACGGCCCGCATCTTGCCCACGATAAGCAGGTAGCACAGGACGATGGCCAGAACGGGCAGCAGGAAGCCCAGCAGGAAAGTATAGACCACAAAGACTGCCGACCAGGCCGGGTGCGGCCAATGCAGGTTGCAGGCCATGGCCTGGCCGCCCCGAGCCGGCCTGGTATCTGCGAAGATGGCGATGGGCAGGGTGACCAGCAAGGACGCCAGCCACACGTCCAAGTTGATCAGTTTGGCCACGCTGGGCCTCCGGTAGGTGGCGGCGCGCAGAGGGTGCACCACGGCGACGTAGCGGTCCACGCTGAGCACGGTCAGACAGAAGACACTGGTGAACATGTTGAGGCTGTCCACACTGAGCACCAAGCGGCACAGCACGGACCGGAAGGACCAGTGGCGCAGGGCGGCCAACGAGGCCACGAAGGGCACGTTCAGCATGAAGAGCTCATCCGCGATGGCCAGGTTGAGCAGGTAGATGTTAGTGGCCGTCTTCATCTTGGCGTAGCGGAGGATCACGAAGATGACCAGGGCGTTGCCCACCAGGCCCACCAGGCACATCAGCGCGTAGATGCACTGGATGGCGACCATGCCCGCTGCCCCCGCGTCCCGCCTCCCCGCCGCCGCCTCCTCCTCCCCGGCCGGGGTGCAGCTGGCGTTGACCGCTGGGGACCAAGCAGTCTGGAGCTCTTCCTCGCCCCCGGGGGGCAGCGTCGGGAAAGCGCTCATGCCCAGGGGTGCCCGCGCAGCTCGGCGGGAGCGCGGCGGAGAGGACGCGGCCGGGGGCTCCAGCGCAGACGCGCGCGCCTCTCCCGGATCCGCCTGAAGAGCGCGCGGCGGGCCCCGCGGGGAGCGCCCGCCAATCCCGCGCCGCGCGCCCTCAGCGCCCCAGTCCCGGAGCCCGCGCGCCCCGCCCCGTTCGCCCACCTCCGCGCCCCCCACAGAGCTACCGTCCAGGCCCCCAGCCCCGGGATCCAGCCCCCGCCCCCGCCCCAAGGTCCTCCCGGGCCCTCCCGAGACTCCCGCCTCGGCTGCGCCTCACCTCAGATCCGTCTTCTCCGGCCGGTTGCCGTCCACTCCTCTGTTCTGTCCTCTGCAGCCGCGAGGCTGGGGGTCCCCGAGTCCTCCGTTTGGATGACGCGGCGCTCGGGGTGGCAGGGGAGTGCGGAGCCAGTTGCCGGGCGCTCGACATTCACCCCTACTACCCCCCCCCCCCCCGCCCCTGTGATCCTCTTGAAGACCTGCAGGGGCTGTCCCATCTTTAAACTCACGTCATTGAGGTGGAACCTGAACCTCCTATAGGCGTCCCCGTGAATTGCAGGTCTACAGGGTCCCCTTCGGCACCCCCCACCTCGCACTCCCGCAACCACAAATCCCAGGACCTTTTTAGCGAGATTTCGGTGGGGTGGGGGTAGGGTGGGCGCCAGGAACGGAGGTGCACACGCGCGGAGGCAGAGATGCCACAAAAGAAGGCCAACCTCTGTGTCCGGTGCCCGTTGCGCTGGGCCTCGCAGACTCAGGCAGCTCGCCCCAGAGCCAGACGCGCGAAACCTACGAGGAGCCTGCTGTCTTCGGAGGCATCTCCACTGCGGTCTCTGAAATGTGCCTGAGGAAGGGTGGTCCGGAAAGGTTGGTGTTCCAAACTGTATTTCCTCCTCCCCCCAAACTCCAGAAAGTGCCAATTGACACCCCTGGACTAGATGATTCTGGGCTAGACAGTCCCGGTGTGAGGACCCAGCAGGCAGCCCCACAACCCTGGGCACAGCAGAATTAGTGAAGTGGGGATTTGCCTCGGAAGATTATCCGCATAGTAATGCTGGCCCTTTGGAACTGCTCTGCAGGGCAGTGGCCTCCTTGAGACTCCCTTCAGGACGGTCCTGAACAGCCTTTGGTGCATCTGGAAGTTGCTGCAGGCTGCTGGGGGTGAGGTCCTAGCTCCTATGCTGCGTGGCTGGAGCTGCTGCCAAGGGGAAGGCGGCAGGATGCTTGAGGCCAGCTGGAGGTGACCTTTCAGAGGGCCTGGAGCCTTCTGACTGCTACTCACCCAGGATTTTTTTGGAGGGGGGCGGAGCACAGGTGATAAGCACCTGTGCAACAGAGTGGCTGAGCCTAATCTCTGTCCCCAGTTTCTGCCACCCAAATGGTTCCTTTAAAAGATTTGTCTTGAAAAAATAAAAATAAAATAAATAACAAAAGAGCTGTCTTAGCAGCCCTCCTCTTTATGGACACTCCTTAAATTGATCTGTCCTTTCCTCTGCTCCTCGTTTTCCTCATTGTCTCTAAGGGAGAGACTCTTACAGGGAAAGAGATGGTGACTTTGTCATTCAGGGAATGTGTGTAAGTCAGTTGTCTGGGTCAGAGTCGGGGTCTGCATGGCTCCTTGACCACTGACACAGGATGGCCTGGGAGTGTAGGTCTCTGAGGTCCACACAAGGAGCCTTTGGAGCATTGGCAACAGCACAAGCCAGAGCTACATGTTTGGGCCAGGACTGGTGCAGTGGGAAGCAGAGCAGGCACTCCAGTGCATTCCTGGCACACGCAGGGCAGGTAGGCCTTGAAACTGGACTGCCTGGTTCAAATCCAGCTTCCCCTCCTCCCAGATACGCAGCCTTGGGCAAATTCCTCTGTCTCTTTGTGCCTCAGTTTCCACATCTGGAAAGTGAGTATTATGGTAGTAACTATTTGGTAAGGCACCATGAGGAGCCATCACAGTGGCATACCTACAGTGACTGGGGGAGTACCTAGCCATCGTCAGCACTCAGTGAGTATGGGCTATCCAGGTTATTTATATTTCTATCCCCCCCCCCCCCCCCCCCGGGTGATGAGACTAAAGAGGAGGTCTGCCTCCTCCCACTTGGCCCCACACTATCCACTGATTGGCTGCTTTCAGAGAGCAAAAGGTGAAGGACATGGTGGAGGTCCCCCATACCCTTCCCCATGAATTATTATTATAGTTTTTGTTGTCAGATGAATCAGTTTCTATTGACAGTATTTTTATATCTAACCTGTATTGAAAACAGTCCTTAGTCACATGGGAAGAGCATTACTTCTATCCCAACTTTGTGCAAATGACCCAAACAGAACAAGCTTTGCTGACACAGCCTGACCTTTATTCTGCTCTAACTCACATCTTGATGATGGGTGATGCTCAAATCAGATTCTCTTGGGAGTGAAAAGAAGCTCTATTAGCAATTATGCTGAGCCTCAGCATAACCCCTGACTCTTCCAGGCAAACCATGACATGGATCCTTTAATTATGGGGAACTCTCCACTTTAATTTTTGAATTACCACATTAAGTGGTAGAAAATAAAGTTTGTGAAGCACCAGATTAACTTATAAGGGCTGTCACACCTCTCTCCAGAGCATCATTGGGAAAGGGTTTTGCGGTGATGAAGGTGAGGTATGCGTTTCACTGACAAAGCCAGGAGATGTTGAAGATTAAACTGAAATGTATCTGTGTCCAAGGCCAGGAGCAGGGAATCATTCCATTTTTAAAAATACTGTCCCCAGACTTGTATATTTAGGGAGGGATCAGAGAAGCATTTGAGATGTGTACCACTCAAGCAACTGAACTCTAGAGAATGAGCATGCACAGTGCTGAACCCCTCCTGAGATGGCCCCAGGGGGGACACGTGTCCCTAGGTCACATTCAGCTTTTCCTGAGATGGACATTCTTCTGCCCATCCCATTTCCCTACTTTGCCCTCAAGTTCCATCAGGCCTCAAACCCCTGGCCAGGGTTGGGATTGGCGAGAGTATCTTAGCTTTTGAAAAATTGCTATAACAATGAAAACAAAGTTGAGTTGATACCGAGAATCACTGCCTTCACCACAGCATCATCATAATGATAAAAATCTCATGGACTAGAAGAATAGGAGGTTGGGAAATTCAGGTCTGATATGGAGGTTCTTCCTCAAAGTCAAGAAAGTCACGAGGCCGAGTTACTTCGAGTTTTGTTTGAGCTGACAGTGTGGGGGGCAGGAGGTAAGTTTTGAACAACAGGCATTTTTGGAGGCAACATAGTATAATGTGACTGCCTTGATCGGCATCCCAGCTCATTGCTTATCAGATACATGATGTTGGCCAAGTTACTCAACCTCTCTGGGCCTTCACTTCCTCCCCTGTAAAATGGTTTTAATCCTAGTTCCACCACAGATGAGCTGTTGTGCGGATTGGACAAGTTGACATACATGAAGCAGTTACAACAGGGTCTGGCACTGATAAGCACTATATATGTTTATTATTAGTAGTACTCCATCCGAAGGCTCTGATGCTTGCTAGCTCAAAGCTCCTGGGCACACTGGCCCCAAACATGCTGACATCAAGCAGAGGACCCCCTCTCTCAGACTCAGTGAGCTGGAAGGAGCAGGCATCACTCCTGAATATTCTGAAGGCTCTCCAGATAATTCTAAAGCATACTGATGCAACACTCACTTAAATGGAATTACAAGAGGCAGGAAGCCTGGGGGCCACAGAGTGTGGAAATCACTGTGCCTCCAGGGTGGCTGAAGGGAGAGGCCAAGAGAAACATCCAGGAAACCAAACAGAGACCCCTCTGCTCGGAGAAACAGAGAGCTCAAGAAGGGTGAGGGGCAACCTGCTAGACCCCAGGTGGGAAGAGGCTGGGGTGGTTGGGGCCCTACAGTTGTGCTCTCCCAAGGCACTAAATATGCCACTGAAGAGGGACCAGCCACATATCTCCACTGGGAGAGAAAACAAAGTGAAACATTCAGGCTGAGTAAAAGGGGGGGAGGGGGACAAAGTCCATTTATAAGCTGTCCTTCAGCTCCCCTGTCCCTTTGCTGTAGGATGTATATATAGGGGGCTTGTTTTGGGTCTGTTGATCAAATGTCTGACATCAGGCCCAAATTGCTCCCCTGCGCCTTGTTATAAGCAGTGCAGAGCTGGGGCTAGGCTGGGTCGGAGTGTCCTTCCCCAGGTGGTGACAGGGCGGCCCATGGGTCCAGCTGGCCCCAGCTGCTGGGGGGCTGGTGGAGTTTCCCTGGCTGAGTGAGGGCAGAGAGAGTGGAGCAGGGGCCTCACAGCCCCTCCCCCAAGCCAGAGGGAACTGCTCCTTTGTCGGAAATGTGATTATCTTGTCTATTTCCATTCTTCAGATGTGCTCCTCAGGCCAGGGTCATCTGGGCTCCAAGCATCTGGGCCACAGGTCTTCGAGAATAGCTTCTTCTGCAAATAGCCATGCATGAAGGAGAGGCTTGACCCTCAGCAGTGTGAGGACTGTTGTCCCGAGAGCCACTTCTGTTGTCACCTGCTGATTAGAAAATCATCTCAAGTGCTCTCAGCACCTCGGCTTGGCTTTGATAGCTTCTGCTGAGTATATTAAAGCATAATTTACCAGAGCCTGAGTGCATGGCATTGTCAGAAGTGATTTACATAATTGCCTCTTCTTCAGATTCCCATCAGAACTCTAGTGATGTGGACAGTGTGATGATGATGCAGCCCCGCTCCACCCCAAAGGCTTTAAATATGAGGTCTAGGATTTCCTTTAAGAGTTTATTAGATATTAAAGGATTTCCTTGAAAGAAAAGTGAACCAAAAATCATGTGAGATAAGCAGAAAGTCAGCATGAGAAAAGCACAGGTCTGGGACAGGAACAGTGTTCATGCAATATCCTGATCGTGTATCCAGACTCTGCTGTCAACCATCTGGAGTGAGGAAATGGAGCGTCGTTCTGTTCTCTGGAGCTGTTTTCGACAGTCCCAGCATCC